CAGGATGTAACATGGGCATGAACCAGGGAGTTATGGGAATTTTTAGTCCAATATAAAGATTTGGTAAGGTTTTTGAAGGAGATAATACATGAGTTAATTAAAGGACAAACAAGAGCAAGGAAGGTGAGAAAGATGTTCTAAAATAAGGAACAGCATGAGAAAAGGTATTGTAGTATAAAATAGCACTGGGGCATTGATGGACAAAAATGCAAGAAGACTATTTTAACTGTTGCTGATAACATTTGCTCAACAGTTACCCCATATTAAGGGCTTGTTAAGCAATTAACATGCTTTTTTTCTTGTAACACTCAATATTATTTCCCCCATTTTACAGGTGGGTAAACTAAGACTTGAAGAGATTGGAAAATATGTCCAAGGTCACATAGCCTCCAGGTCACAAAACTGACCAGGGATTTGCACCAGAGACTGCAGAGTTAGTGAAATGTCTCAACAAAAGAGGAATGGGGTGCACTGTACCTTCTACCTTATTTGTTCATAGACAATGCTGTAACCATATCCACTGCCTTGTACGTCTGCTTATTATAGGAATAATGATGATGATTACAATGATGACAGCAATAATAAACAAGGCTTGCTATGGTCAGTAGGCCACATATATTACACTTTTTAATCCTTTCACCAATAAAAATAAAACAGCATTGTACATACCAACTTAGCAATAACAACACATAACATTTACCACATGCCAGATATTGCTTTACGAGCTTTACTGTATTATCTTACTGAATTTTCACAAGTACCCGGTGATGAAGACACCACTACTATCTCCAGTTTATTGAGTAAACTGAGTCATAGAGGGGTTAAGTTGGCCAGTATCACACAGCAGGTTAGGATAGCCAAGAAGCAAGCCTAGGCATTTGAGTTTCACAGTCTATGTTCTTAGCTACTGTTCTTCACTGTCCATCGTCTGTCAAAAACAATGATCACAACTCAACCCACTGACCAACCTCACTCCCCTTTCTTCACCTGCTATTGACAGAGAAGTAATTCTATCACATGCTTGGACTGAGGAATGAAAAAGTAACAAAGTAATTCTGATCATAAGCTCTCTGATTCTGCAGAAATGATAAATCTGGTCCTAACATGGAAACTGTTGCCAGAAACAGGAACACAGAGTTCCAAATTCCAGTTTCTTTTTTTGGATGCCTTATAGGTGCCAAGGTCAGACCGTCAATATCTGTGCAGCAGTGGCGAGAAGAGATGTTGTTGGCTATCTATCTATCTATCTATCTATCTATCTATCATCTATCTATCATCTATCTATCTATATGGTATCCCTCTTAGAACAAGCATAGTTTTAGTTAAAAGTGATCAACTTGCCATTATTTAAGTAATGTCTTGGTAATCTTATTTCTATTGCTTTTTGCAAACTCATAAAAGCTTAGGCCCAGCTTTGCTACATCTTCCAGTTATAAGAGTAGCCAGAAATACTGATTTTTAAAATGTGAAATATTTTAATAGTTTTAAATTCCAAGAACTAATTTTAAAAATTAAAAAATTCATTGTAGCCCTAACCAGTTTGGCTCAGTGGATAGAGCATCAGCCTGCAGACTGAAAGGTCCCAGGTTCGATTCCAGTCAAGGGCATGTACCTTGGTTGCAGGTACATCCCCAGTAGGGAGTGTGCAGGAGGCAGCTGATCGGTGTTTCTCTCTCATCGATGTTTCTAACTCTCTCTCCCTCTTCCTCTCTGTAAAAAAATCAATAAAATAAAAAAAAATTCATTGTAGAAAAACAAAATACAATTGTGGGTCCCTTTCAGGCCACAGGCCACAGCTTACATTCTTTCATGTAGTCTGTGGTCTTATGACCTTTTAAGGTCTCACCTCCTTGTCGGAAAATTCAGATAGTTGGACAAAGGGAACTCTAACTTCAGTTCTAACCGCCCTCAGATTCTTTGAAGACACTGCCTTATTTTGTAATGTAAAAACATACCAAATACAAGTTTGAATGAAATTATAAGTCTTGGTAATAAGTAACCTCATTATCCAGAAAAAAAATGATCAGTTTTTATATAGAGAGGGGACAGTAGATAATATCTGAAGCTTCTCCATCCCTCAGCTCTACATGACAGATGACACCAGAGACAGAAGATGGCTCACCTACAATCAAGTTGCAGAGTTTGAGCTCAGACACAGGTTTTAACATATATCATTTTCCATCATCAGCCAGCTTTCTTATTCTGTTAAAGAAGTAATTTGAACTCCTAGATCCAGCCATTCCTGCAGTCACCTCTGTACTGGATTTTCTAATTACATGCACTAATAAATCTGTCCCCTTCCCATTATTTTCTTCTTGATTTAACCATTTGAGTTAGGTTTTCGTCACTTGGAGCTAAAAGAATCAGACTAATAGTGTCCCACAAGCAATGACTCCTTTCCATACTTCTGCTATCTCATGCTCTTCTCCAAATTAGAATACCTGTCTTTCCTTGTGCTTACGAGTCATACAAATTCTTTAAGATCTAACTTCCTCAATGAATATGTTCCCACTATTAAATCCAACTCTGTGTGTGCATGTATATCTCTCCACTACTTTTGCATTGTCATCAGCATCTTAATTAAACACTTTCTTATTATCAACTTATTTGACATGTATATATGTTATCTTCCAAACTAGAACATAGATTCCCAATTCAGATGCATATCTCACAGGTATCTTCTGGTTCAGCCACCAAGCCTGGGAGAGTGCTTAGTGCAAGGAAAACACATACTTAAAACTTAATTCTAAGTTAATAGAACTCTCCTGGTCATTCCAGCTTAAGTTGTAAAGACACCTAGCCCAAAGTCACAAGTACCGAGTATATTTTCATGGCTAGCCTATTACTGTGTAGTAAATTTCCCTTAGAGGGGAAAGATCTCTGAATCATTTGACTTTTACCACTTTACACAGTACAATTCTTCTGGAATAAAATATTTAATTTCCTTTGTTCTTCAGTCTAGTTTTTAGAGAAGCAGAAGGCTATTCCAAATGTGTAATGAGGCAAGAACCTCTCTTATTACTTCTGCAGTGTTTCGCATCTTCAGAATGCCTCTGCCACTACCAGTGCATAACGGTTCCTGCCTATTGCACCAAGGAGGTGTCCGGGGCAGGGTTGCCAAAAAGCATATTTAAAGAACGCATCTTTTCCTTGATGAAGAGCGAAACATGTAATTATTTTAAAAGCAACCTGGTTTAATAGTTACTTCGTTTTCTCAAAATTAGAATATTTATTTTCTGAAATGCAAATCATATATTGCACTGACTAAGCAACCCTTAAGAATTCTGAGTAGTGGAGCTAATCCAAATGCCTCAAAACATATCTTAATGGATGAATCACTAGTATTGGCTTAAAATACAATATGATCATGTTGACCAATGTCACCCTAATAAACTTAATTTAAATATATATATATATCCTATCTAATAAAGAGGGAATATGCTAATTGACCCTCACGCTGTTGCAAAGATGGTGGCGCCCACAGCCAATGAGGGAATATGCTAATTGACTACCACGCCCTCAAATATGGCAGCGCCCACATCTACAAGATGGCCGGCAGGGGAGGGCAGTTAAGGGCAACCAGGCCAGCAGGGGAGGGCAGTTGTGGGGGACCAAACTTAATTAATATATATATATATCCTATCTAATAAAGAGAGAATATGCTAATTGACCCTCACGCTGTCGCAAAGATGGTGGCGCCCACAGCCAATGAGGGAATATGCTAATTGACTGCCACGCCCTCAAATATGGCAGTGCCCACAGCCACAAGATGGCCAGCAGGGGAGGGCAGTTAGGGGCAACCAGACCAGCAGGGGAGGGTAGTTGGGGGGACTAGGCCAGCTGGGGAGGGTATTGGGGGCAATCAGGCTGGCAGGGGAGCAGTTAGGCGTCAATCAGGCTGGCAGGGGAGTGGTTAGGGGTGATCAGGCTGGCAGGCAGAAGTGGTTAGGGGCAATCAGGCAGTCAGGCAGGAGAGTGGTTGGGAACCAACGGTCTCGGATTGTGAGAGGGATTCCTAAACCGGCAGTCAGACATCCCCTGAGGGGTCCCAGATTGGAGGGGGTGAAGGCTGGGCTGAGGGACACCCCCCCAGTGCACAAATTTTGTGCACCAGGCCTCTAGTATATATATACAGTGGGGCCTTGACTTATGAGTGTCCCGACTAACGAGTTTTTCAAGATACGAGCCATCTCTTGGCCAATTTTTTGCTTTGAGTTGCGAGCTAACATTCAGGTTACGAGCCAGCTTCAGATACCCCACCGCTAGTTGGTGCAGCAAACGTCACAGTGAACACCACAACATCAGCCCAGCATCACGTGTCTCACTCGTTCACTTTTGATTTGACATACGAGTAATTTGAGTTACGAGCTCCGTCACGGAACGAATTAAACTCGTAAGTCAAGGCCCCACTGTATAGTTAACTAGCAGTAGGTCTTAAATTTTATGAAAGGTATAGGCTCTTGAGTCATGACCAACTAACAATGTCAAGTAAGTGAATAAAGATGAATTTCTATGGCTAACAGTGATTCAACATTAGTCATACTTTCATGGCAAGATATAAGCTGAATTACATGGAAGTGAGTAGCTTGAACTTACTACTCACCTGGTTGAAAGTCCTCCTAAGCGATATGGGAGTTCATATAGAACAGGCACAATTTTAGGGTTGCCTCTTTTTCTCAGCACATACATACATACACACACAGACACACATGTACACAAACCTACACATGCACACAATATTCATTTTGGACATTTGTAATCCAGGCATTATAAGGAATTCCTATCCACTTTTTAAAAAGTGGGTTATGTCCATCTAAACAGTATACAACTGCTTACAGTGCCTTCTTTTACATTCCCTTGGTAATATCTATAGTAGCTACTTCACAGGAGGCAGCCGCCCATCACCGCCACTACAGAATTTACAAACATATGGTGTCACTTTGCCATGCCAACTTCTAGGTATTCACTCTGCATTTTGACAAAAGAAGAAAGCTAAGCACAGAACTGTCTTTCAGATCATCATTTATGAGCTCCTGAAACATGGTACACTGTGCCAGTATGATGGTCAGGTTTTGATTTTGGTCATAAATTATCACTACCAACACGTTATATTTAGATTCACAGCAGTACCAGAAAAATACACCTATAAATTATACACTATGTTTTCACATAGTCCACTTAAAGCCTCATCTTTTAACTGGGACAATTGTTGGAATGCCCCGGAACTCTTTTTTCCAGTAAAAGTAAAACCAAAGTAATTAACTATCAGAATTATCCAGCAATGGCACCTTCAGCCTCTGCTCCTTCCCTGTTGGTCTTCTGAGCTAAAATACTTTTTTTTTTCAGCTGGAACCACATAGAAAGACTGTGAACAATCTGGCATTCAGATTTATCAGCTCACATTTCTCATATTCTTTATGAGGCTAGTACCTAAATGTATATATTGCCCATGTACTCCCCCCTTGTCTGCGGTTTAGCTACCTGTGGTCAACCATGGTCCAAAAATATTAAATGGAAAATTCCAGAAATAAATAATTCATGTTTTAAATTGTGTGCCTTTCTGAGTAGCATGTTGATCTCATGCCACCCCCTTCCATCCCTTGTAAATCGCCCCTTGTCTGGCGTGTCCAGGCTGTACATGCCACCTCTCCATTAGTCGCTTAGTAGTGCCTAGGTTATCAGACTGACAGTCATGGTATCACAGTGCTTATGTTCAAGTAATACTTTTACTTAATAATGACCCCAAAGCCATTTGCATAACTTAAAATTGTTCTACTTTATTTTTATTTATTGCTGTTAATCTTTACTGTGCCTAATTTATAAATTAAATTTTACCATAGGAATGTATGTATAGGAAAAACAAATTACATATAGGGTTTGGTACCATAAATGGTTTCAGGCATCCCCTGGAAGCCTTGGAACTTGTGCTGTGGATCAGAGATGCCCTAAGGGATGTAGGCCTCTCTCAACTCAAACAGAAATAACCCTGGGTAAGAAGTACACTTATGTTCTCAGGATGCTAGGGTTCTGTTTTTCACTTTAGAATATCTCTGGCTGGTGTTGCTAATTTAAAAGATAGGATTTGGAATCAGAATGCCCTGTGCTTCAGTCCCCACTCTTTCACCTATTTGCACAGTGCTTTAGGAAAATTACAAAACCTCTCTGAGTCTGTTTTCCCTTCTAAGAATGAGGATAGTTGTTAGGGTTATTAGGAGAATTTATAATGACTTAAGAACAGAAAAGGAAATTTAGGTAAAAACTAAGATCTGACTAAACTATATATTTTAGTTAATAGTAAGTATCAATATGGGTTCTTTATTGTAACAGATGTACCATATTACAGAGAGATGTCAAAAATGGGGAGAAACTAGGTGAGGGGTATATCGGAACTTTCTGTACAATTTTATCAATTTTTTAGTAAATCTAAAGCTTCTAAAAAAATGCAGTCTATTTTTAAATATGATCTAAGTGAAGTGCCCTGCACATAGTAGGTGCTTGGAAAGTGGTTGCCAGTATTATAAATATAGACTCTTTGGTTTTGCAATGTGCATCATATGCAGTATAATATGATCTTATTTTTATCCCCAGCTTTATTGAGATAATTGACATATAACACTGTCTAAGTTGAAGGCACATAGTATGATGATTTGATATGATCTCTTCTTTTCCCCAATTCAGCAACTCTTTTTCATAGGCAGTTTTCTTTCTCTCCCTCCGTGTCACTCTATTCTCTTTCTCTACATCATTCTTCATAGCTATTTCTAGTTCATCCATGTTGTCTACTACAAACTCATAATTAGTTTACAACTTGTTTATATTTCTCCAAGACTAATTTCAGTTCATCAATCTTATCTGTTGGCTTGGAATTTTACCACAGTAATTATGCAAATTTTTTAGTTACTTTCAATGATGGGTCATTTAAAAATTTTTTTAAATATTTTTAATTGATTTTAGAGAGAAAGGGAGCAGGATAGAGAGATGGAAACATGGTTGAGAGAGAAATATCAATCAACTCCCTCCCCTAAGTCCCCTACCGGAGAATCAAGCCTGCAACATGGGCATGTGCCCTGACCAAGAGTCAAACTGGGGACCTCCTGGTTCATGGGTCAACGTTCAACCACTGAGCACCACCGGCTGGGGTCCTTTTTTTTATTACTATTTCATTCAAAGTTCCAAGCTTTCTACTGGGAGAAAAAAATGGCAAAACATCCTATTCCAGAAAGACTCTAGCAATGGAAAAGTTTGGCTTTTCTTGTAATAAGAAGATAGATACCCAGCTTCTTAAGTCAGCCAACAGTCCTGAGGCAGCTTTGATAGGATGTGTATTAGCACTAATTTGTTGCAATATCTAAAAATAGTTTGACAAATACCAGTGTTATCAATCCGTTTTGTGGTCTCTCTGATGTTAAGGTTATGTGTAAAAACAAAACCCACTTGCTCCTCAAAAGCACAGCTTTGAATGGATTCAGATAAAAGGTACAATCAGATGAGAAGACTCGAGCCTCCTGATAATCTCTCCCAGGTGGCTGGCTGCTGTTTAGAACTGGGTCTCTGGGAGAACAGATTTCTCTCGTTCCAGTGCTGGATGTCAGCATCTATTTAAAGGACAGCCCAAGAGCCTTTTGGTTGATAAAGGGAAGTTTGTTTCTTATTTTTTCTGTAAATCACAACAGTTTTCATTGCCAAATAACCAGGACATCTTTGGTTGTTGGTGATTTATTAATGGGATAGATTTTAAAGATGGAGTTTCCCCTGCTATAAAGACAGTTACCATAATAATTCCAAACTGAAACCTGAAATATCAGGCCCTATGTGTGGACCTATCACCCAATGTTAAAAGAATATCCAAGAAACTTTGACTGTTCTGAGGATACTTTTGCTCTACTGTAGTCCAAAATACGGGTGGAAAAAGCAAGGAGCTAGTGATGGGGGCGGAGAATGGAGTGTGTAGTCCACCTGCTATTTCTCAACCAGGAAATGAGTTTTATTTTTAATAAAACTGGTACGCAAGCTTGAGCTAGCTGAAATAAACCATCAGTGCTGGCGGGTGTGTGTACATATGTAAGCAAAGCAAACAGAAACCTGGGCTCACTCAAGATAAGGGTGGATAAATATAGGAAAACCTCAGACTCTACTACAGCAACATAAAATTCAGCGTTAACTGGCAGCAACCAGAAATTCACTATTTTAAGAAACTGGTCTCACAACCTCGATGGGGCTGGAGCTGGCTTCGTACACCGCCCCTCGGGGCCCTCACTGGCTGCTCTGATAGCTCACGTGCTGCACATTCACGGAGGGAGGAGACAAAACACATCCCTGACTTTCTTTCCTGACTCGCTCCACCTGAGTGCTGACCCCTTCCCGCCCTTCTTGCCCCTCCTCCTGCAGGGCGCCACCCCCTCCTTTCTCTGGCTGGAGAACACAGATAGAATAGGCGCTTTTTTACATCACATCCAAAGGCGGCCCGAAGCCCCCGCAAACCTTGCCCCCAAAACAAAAAAAGTTCTAAAAGTTCAAAAATTGCAAGGTTTTTTGCGGAGCATCCAGGGCCCTCGAAAACCCAGAA